GGATTTATGTTGAGGTCTTTGATCCATTTGGACTTAAGTTTTGTGCATGGTGATAAACATGTATCTATCTGCAGTCTTCTACATGCCAGCATCCAGTTATGCCAGCACCATTTGTTGAAGATGCTTTCTTTTTTCCATTGTATAATTTTAGCTTCTTTGTCAAAAATCATGTGTTCATAGGTGTGGGTTAATATCAGCATTTTCAATTCAATTTTATTGGTCTACCTGTCTATTTTTTGTGCCAATCATGATGGAAAATTGTAATGGAAAATTTGTATTGTTTAGATTTTGGGTTTTGAGACAGGGTTTCAGTCTGTAGTTCTGCTGACACTGAACTCTCCATGATCTTCTTGCAAAATCTTCTAGACTATGGGACATGAGGCCTAACAATTTAAATGCAGATTTTTTTCTGTTTTATTTTATTGAAAGAAGTTTCCATAAGATAGATATTTGCTTAACTTTATTCTCTCTACCAAATAATTATAAAAATTGACATTTTAAATAGTCTTTGCATAGGACCTGGGTTCTGTTCCCAGCACCCATACGGGGATCTGATGTTTCTGTGGACACCAAGGACGCATGTGGCACACGTACATACTGTAGACATACACATGTACATATCAAGTAAAAATAAATATTTAAAACTGTATAATTTCCTCAAAGCATAAAAGTATATTGTTCTTGTAAAAGTAGCATTATCTCTGCTAGTTAAGTCCCTGTATGGTTATACTTCTTAAACTGACCCTTTTCCTGCCCCAAGGATTATTTATACACTGGAAAGCATCCATGCCATTTTCTCTATTAGTGTTGCCAGTTATTGGTTCTTTGTGTTACAGCTAATAGTTATGGATGAAGAAGTCTTAAGAGCTCTTAGTAGCAATAGAAGCTTAGTTGTTAAGTCTTTTAGTTTCTAAGTTTGGAATTTCAATTTCAGCACCTTTAGGTATCAACTATGAAGTCTGAGATGCCAGTGTGTCTTCTTTTTTTAATGTTGGTATGACATGTTTGGGCATAGCAGCATCACTTGCCAGTATCGCATGTTGTGTTATATCCAACGTAATATTTTATTGTATTACTTTGACATAACTCATCTCTGCATTTTTAAACCTTTGTTCAGTTGTGATGAATGCTGACTCTACGTGTATGGAAGTGATTATGCCTGAAGAGTGTACTTCGTCAATCCCTATGAAATCAATACCTTTAGTTTGTAGTAGGTCTTGTCTTTTTGTATCTTCCTCATCCTGTGAACACTCTAAGAGTTTTCAATAAGTGTAAAGTAGGGCCTCTAGATGTCACTATTTCTTTATAAAGCATACTATAAATAGGCACTCCAAATCTTTGATTCTCATCCAAGATCTATGTGAACATTTAGTCACTCCAAATACCAACAAGTTTAGAACACTTGACAATTTACCCAGTGTGCTTGTCTATTTTTAAAGAGCTAAGTAGCACTGTTCACAGGGTTATTTTTTCCTAAGCAGCTTTCCAGATGTTCCCATATCAGATAAGCGTTCACTTCCCCAGAGTAAGCAATGGGTCAGCACTGGGAGCAGATTCAATCACTTTATGCAGCAAAGATTATTTAGTGTTTGAAACTTGTCACTTTATACCCCAGATTCTAAATTGGCTAATACAACATTTCCTAAGATGTCTTGCCTGTAAATGGTAGATCTTAGATTTGACTTCTGTTAGTTGTTCTGATAATTACTCTATTTCAAATAAAAGTTTTCAGGACATTACTTATCAAAGTGCTTTTTTATGTTTATTTTCATTAATAATTCCATCAACAAAAAACTAAAAGGTAGAAGAAAGAGAGTTCAAAATGCTGGACTCTAAGTGATTACATGTTTCTGTTTAATACTGAAGATTTGGGTTGCTTAGAGCTATGGTGGAGCCAATACCATTGTTTCTTTCCTGCCCCTGCTACCCTTCAAGCTTTGCAACTGATATGACAACTAATATTTACAAGTGTGGGAGAATGGCATGGTTCACAAGATTTTATGTTTCACAAAATATAATGCTATATTTATGTCTCTACATTCATATGTATAGGTATACAGTAACCAAAATGCACAGAGAAGTAAATTTTGAATAGGAAAATCAAAATAGAAAAGTAGAATTATCTAAATAACCTATATGAAAATAAGGAAGGCAAACACAGGAAAAAATTCCAAGATTGACATATATCCAATAATATTTGGTAGATGTCCAAGACAGAGACTGGATTGTAAAATGGACAATCGATAGCTATGAAAATTTAAAACTGTGTGAGCAATTAATATAGCAACAAGATGAAAAGATCACTATGTTTGAACATATGACCTACATTAGCAAACATTTTGGTTAAATTATGATTTTTAGGAAAGTATATCCAATTTTCTTTTTAAGCATGCATAACATATTTATTAAAGAAGATTGCATGCTAGGCCATCAAATGTATTTTGAGGAATTTTAAAGGATCAGAATTATGTGCAGAATATTCACTGATCTCACAGAATTAAGTATTAAATCTGTTTCATTAAGAAACTCAATAACAACATGGAGAGATGGCTGAGTGGTCATGAGTATAGACTGTTCTCGCAGAGAACTGAGTTCAGTCCCCAGCACCTAGAAGGGGAGACTCACAGATGCTTGTAATTACAGCTCACACATGCACATTCTCAAATACAGACACATAGACATATGTGGAGATTACAGGACAATTTGCCTGTAATCCTGGCAGTTGAGAGGCAGAAAGAAAATAGAAATCAGAAGTACTATCTGTGATTCTCTATGTGATCTGAATACTGCTTATGAAGTTTTTCCTTTCTGGTTGTTAAATCAGTATGACTTTGTATATGTTCTGGCCTCTTTGAATGAGTTAGCAAAGAAGAAGTGGGTAGGACGACAGCAGTGTAACCCAGAATATTCATGCATGTGCATCCTGTTCACCCTCATCTCACACAGTTGCCACACCCCATTAGAATCTGAATATTCAGTTTAGATAAAATCTTTATCATTATTCATTTCACCAGTGTTTGTTGAGCATCTGTTACTCATTACGTGCTATTCTAGGTCCTTGGTATATGCTACAGGCAAAAGGAGGAAGACTCCTGATGATTGAGCATACATATACCAAGAGGCTATTATATGCTTTACATAAAAGTCAAACTTCATAGCTTTAAATTCCTGATGGTGGCAACACAGTTCAGTGTATGGAGTATCTCAGAATATAAATGATGCAAACATTGTAGCATGTGTATTACCCTTGCTGGATACGTCTCAGAAAGCTATAGCAAATAAAACCTTGGCTATCAGTGAGGGCAAAGTCTTTTACCAGCTTATGATTACATTTTTAACTTAAATTATTCTCTAGCTAATCACTCCTAGTTGAAATATCCCAGGTTAGCAATATTAGTTCAAAGATTGCCCCTCTAATTAATTCATGTATATGTATTTAATCCAGAAATAATTATTATGGTGCTTAAGTATTAAACAATTTGTAATGAGATACAAGTGTATAGGTGCACTTTTGGCTGGCTCCTAAACCATACCTAGAAGATGCCTTCAGAGCATCACTGGTTAAGGAGTAAACATTTGTCAGATATTTGTTCTGCAGACACATGTCTGTGTCTTAAGTAACTGTTATATGAAAGTGATCAAAAGAAACACAAAAGAGAGAAAATGGAGAAAGCAAGCCATGGGTCCAGGTGGCTGGGTGGCTATTGATTGACACACAGAATCCTCTATCGTCAAATGATAATTATGCAGTACCATGAATAATGTAGGCAGACATTAGTGTATTCTCAATGATGGGACCATGTTGCTGTAGCTACACTGGACATTGTATTAACAGCTCGGCAATTTAAAGCTCAGTGATAATAATTCATTAGTGGTTCAATAAAGGGCCTCTAAATGCTCCATCACAACACTCATGTTTCTAAGCAACTATTTCTATAGCACTGTGCCACTAACCTATGATTAAATAAATTACACATGGGATTGAGTAATAGCCTTTGGAAGATTTGGAATTCATGACAAATTTTGCATCCCAATTTTTATTTTAGTATTTCATTGGTTTTATCTACCTTCTATGGAAGACATTAAAATTCCAGGTGTGTTACACAGAAAGAGAAAGCATGCATTCCGATGAAAATAATAACGAAAGGGTCAGAAATGAAATATGGCTGGCAGTGTACAGATGAGATGATGGCTTAATTCTACCTGCAGATGACAGTACCCATCCAGGCAGACAGCTGAGTGTTGACCAGCTACTCTTCAGAGGTGGAGACAAGGTTAGCAAGAACATTTACCTCTACATCCTTTTCTGAAAAGTTGGGAAGAGAATGCTATGAAGCTCACTCATGTAATAATTGCATTGTTGTGAATGAATAAAGGATGAAGGAACAAGATACGATCAACATAGGACTCATTGGGAGTTCTGTGCTTTTGTGTGAGCTCTCACTTCTGTTTTTGTTGTCGTGACTTTGTGTGTACATTTACATGTCTGTGAATGCCATGGTGCATACACGGAGTTTGGAGGACAACTTTGGACATTAGTCATTGCTTTCATCTTATTTGAACAGGACCTTGCTTATCATTGCATATACAGGCTAGTTGGCCCTCTAGCTTGTAGGAATTCTCTGGTTTCTGCCTTTTACCTCAACCCAGGAGTCTGGGATTACAGTTGTGTGTCAGTATGGCTTTACATGAACTCTGTGTATCTAAATGCTAAATCCTAACTCAAGTCCTCATGTACACTTTAGCCACTATGTCATTTTCCCGGTCCAACATGACAGGTTTGAAAAGGAGTTCGTGAATCAGTAAGATTGGATTAAACTCTAAATCAGCATCAAAAATGATGTCTTAAAAATTAAAACGGCAATGGAGGGGACAAAGAGATGCTCAAGAGATGGACGTGCTCCCTTCGCTCACTAGTTACCAGAGGACTGTGCCTCCTCGGTCTCGACAGGAAACTACTAAAGTTCCTGTGGGATTAAGTAGGATTTAGTAAAAACATAATGGATGGGGAGGAGAAAACCTATGGTGGCTGTGAAAGCCCTGATGCAATGTATATCAAGCTAATATCTTCTGATGGCCATGAATTTATTGTAAAAAGAGAACATGTGTTAACATCAGGAACAATAAAGGCCATGTTGAGTGGACCAGGGCAGTTTGCTGAGAATGAAACCAATGAGGTCAATTTTAGAGAGATCCCTTCGCACGTGCTATGGAAAGTGTGCATGTATTTCACCTACAATGTCTGCTACACTAACAGCTCCACCAAGATTCCTGAATTTCCAATTGCACCTGAATTGCACTGGAACTGTTGATGGCTGCGAACTTCCTAGATTGTTAAATAAAATAAATTATAATAAACAAAAAAAGAGATGACCTGATTTCCATCTCTGGACCCATACAATAGAAGTGAGAAATAACTTTAACATGATGTTTCCTGACCTCCACACATGCTCTGTGACTCTTATGACATATACGTTCTCTTCCCAATAACTCTTTGTAATATTTTAGCATGTTTTTTGCTTGTGTTTAAAAAAGAGGTGATAGAAAGGCAAAGGCCCAGGTGGCAAATGACTTTAGATGAGATCTAGAATACCCTTCCATATGATAGTGTCATTCCATGAATGACTGAGGCAGGCATTAGGGAATTCGCAGGGATCTGTGCATACAGCTGCCATCAGCATCAGAAACTGCTGCATTCTTAACAGTTTAGCAAATAACTCCAGTGATTGTAATTCAGTAGTAGTTTAATAACATGCTCAGTGTGCCAAGCTACATTTTCCTAGTAACTTCAGCTTACAGATGAGACTAAAGATGTCCCTTTGAAGTGACAACTAGAAGAACAAATAGCCTTGTCATTCTATTTTGTGGTAGTTAGAATGGAGGAGCTAATAAATATCAAAATCCCTGGGTAAAATTAAGCTACACCTGGATATAATGTGGCAATGCAGCTTTAAAAGTTGTGTAGTGTGCATGCTATATAATAAACCGTGGTGGTTTGTTTCTGTATGGAACGTCAGATGAGGCTAGCCAAGGTAACTGTTTTGGCAGTTTGGCCTTACTTAAACTCTATCATGACTGGGAATCATCTCTGGGGATGATTGATAAGTTGAAGTACTACCCCACACAGCTTTGGGGAATTTAGTCCTTTCAGAGTCACACCACTGGGCATTGTTCACTTCTTCCTTTGTGATCCCATTCAGTGACCACAGTGGGTCCAATGCCCTGGCTAGGAAGGTGAAGCAAGTACATGTGGTGGGTTGTTTTTCATACTGACCCAGGACATTAAGATAATTAGAGTCTGTGTCTACCTCAGCTAGGTTCTGGTTTCTAAGATAGCTTCCCAGTGATGGTGCTAGAGACAGCAAGTGAGACAAGGAGACTGTGTCTTCAGAAGCACAAAAAGAAAACACAGAAGCTTCCTTAAGCACTAAATTCAACTCCCCCTTCTCATGAATTAGTTGTATTATTTCTCTTCTGGTATCATGCTGCATGCAAAAACAAATACTTCAGGCACTGCTTCCATTTTTCTGGAAGCTTGAGTACTGGCCTCATGCTCTTTTTCCTGTTTGTGTACTTTTTCCACATATAGATTACTTCCTCAAGGGTTAATGGAGTAGGAGCACACATTGCCACGAGCAATAACTAAGATATTCATCCCCACTTTCACCCACTGAACTCTTGACTACCTTTGCTGTTTGAGATGAAATGAAAAACCATTTCATAGTTTTATTCTTTTCCCCTCTCCCTACCTCTCTACCTTGTCTTCCTTTTTACCTCACCTTTCATCTCCTCTTTCTCTTTTCTTCTACTCCTCCCTACTCATTTGTTTTGAGTCATTAATTGTCCTTAGTCCCTCAAGTCCTGTATGTCATTACTTCATTTGTTGAGTGATTTGAGCAGATTTCTTTTAAGCAGAGAGGGAACAGTAATCTCACCATTGGCTGATACCTTGATAGAGAAAATAAATACCTGAAAGATTGTTAAACATGTAGTAGTTTGGGCAGGAGAGAAAATTCAATAAGTTATGAAGAATATGATAGACAGGCCAGACAAGAAAAATACAGAGGAGGGAGGACATGCTGTAAAGCAGAGATGTTAGTTAGCCTTAGCAGATGTTTCCCGCTCCATCCAGTCACCTGGGTACATTAGTATACTGAGTAGCTCAAGTGGCTTATTCCATGGCTGTCTTGGCTCTTGTTGCCATAGTTTCTAGCTTAAAAAAAGAAACTTGGATGTTAGAGATCCAAATTTGGGTCCTTATATTTGCATAGCAAGCACTTTACTCTCCGATTCACCTCTCTAGCCAGGTCCTCTTCTTATAGTCAGTTGGCTGCTGAATTATAGCCTTTAAAAAATGATCAGTTTTAACGAAACTCCAAAGCATGGCTTTTATTTAACTATGATTTATTTCTATGTAGTAATCTAATACCTAGCCAAAGTCCAAATAAGCTAATGTGAGATCTAAACAGAAGACCCACATCCTCCTAGACAGTGAAATACAACTCTCATTAGTTTTGTTCTTTTACAGTTCTTCCAACTTCCTCCTCCTCCTCCTCAGTGAATCATAAAAATTTAATAGTTTTCAGGCAAGCACAATATTAAAAAAATAAAGAAAATAATAAAAACTCACCTCTTTACTGTTATTGCTGACTTTATTTCAAACTCAAAACAAAGATATCACCAGACTTGAAGAGCTTCTAAATAGGTAATTTTTTTGTGTCAACTATATACCAATAAAGTTGCTTAAAATAAGGTAAAACTTTTATTACAGGTCGAATGTAATAGTTGGGACCAGTTCTCTTTGCAACATGCTTAAAATAAAAGGCATAATTTCCCAATATTTCAAGGCATAGAAAAGCAGAAGGAGCAATGAGGACTGGGTGAAGTGCTGTGTGTTTGTCTCTGATGGCACAGCTGTGTGTCTGGGGTGGGACTTCCTCAAGAACACCAGCTGTGGAAGGCCGGGTGTACCTGCCATCTGGAAGAAGTGGATAATCCTGATTCAATTTCTACAAACCACAATTAGGGAATTGCTTGGATAATACTTCAACCTAATTGCATTATTCCTCCTATGTGAGAGAAGATCAATGGAAGAAACCAGAAAGCTCAAAGGGATTTCCTTGTTAACCATTAGCATATCCATATGACTTAATTGAATTAATTCATTGGTGAAGACTTTACATTCTTTAGTCAATGATGCTTACATGATGAAGAACTAAGGTTCAGCCTCACAGAATTTTGAGTGTCTAAGGACAGAGAAGCTCTGTGAATTGTTAAAGTTCAAGCCTTTGACTCTGCAGAGAGTCTTACTCTTATGTTTGTTTATCCATGGGGACTGTTCTTTTCCACATGGAGGAAACCATACTCTAACACTGTTTTCTATTTAAATGTCTATGCCAGGTTCATCCTAGGCATAATATAAATTTCTGTACCTTTAATAGCCAAGATGAGGAGGGATATAAACTGTCAACATTTTTGGCTTAGAATAGAAATGTAGGTACAGAACACTGAACAACAACAACAAAACAACAAACAAACCAATAGCCAAAACTTAGTCTAATGCTTAATTCTATTTCCTCTGCTTACTGTTAAACCTGCCAGTAATGAGAGCACAGTGAGATAAGCAGTGTGCATGTTGTGATTCATTTGGAGAAGACAGCCCCATTGCAATGCCTTTTAACTTGGAAATCTAACTCTTTTCAAACATTCTTTAAGGTGAGATTCTATCCCACCCTGTTTTAGTTAAGGTTTCTATTGCCTCCAAAGAGACACCATTACCATGACAACTCAAATGAAGGAAAACATTTAACTGAGCTATCTCATAGTTCTGAGGTTTAGTCCATTATGTTAATGGTGGGGGTCTACAGGCAGACATTGTGCTGGAAAAGGAGATGGGAGTTCTACATCTTGATCTGTAGGTAACAGGAAGTGAACTGTGTACCACACTGAGCATAGGAGCTTTGAGCGAAGGAGACCTCAAAGTCCACCCCTAAAGACACACACTCCCTCCAACAAGGCCACACCTACTCCAACTAGGACATATCTCCTAATAGTGCCACTCCCCTTGGGGGCCGTTTTCTTTCAAACCACCAGACATCCCTTTAAAATAATAGACATTATCATCCACACAAAGGCATCAGCATAATTCTAACGTTTTTTCAAGAAACTATACTTTAAGATGAGTCAATAGCCTTATAAGATGGTTTGAGCCACAGGATGCACAATTTTTCAGCAGCAGCATCCTACTGTTAGGCACAAATGTAAACCACATGTCTTAATATTCTAATCCACAAGGTTCTTTAGTTTTGGAGGATAACATTTTATAATTATCACATTACTATATGATACCACTTGTGTGAAATTGCTCATGAGCTGAATATCTATGCTGATCACAAAACACGTCACTGTAAAAAAGAAAGGGCACAGGTTATCTTATGTAGAGATTTTAACTTCTGAAGACATTTAGACACTGGTCTACTCTAACCACTGAAGTAAATTATTATGCTAAAATGATTGCATGGAACAAACAAAAATAGTATCACCACATGAAGCTGACTTAGACAATTAGTAAGAGGATATATTGCTCCTCAGTGGCTTCTGTAAGTTCTTCTTTTTCACAGAAGTGATAACATAATCAAAATATTTGACCAAGTTTAAAAATAAAATTATCTGCTCAGCTATTTATACATGTTTGTAGTAAGTGATTTTAAAATTCCTTTAAATTTTAACTAGTAAGATAATCACTCAGTACCGATAAGTCATAAATGCTAGAAGAATACAGCTCTGAGATGTAGGAAAAAAATCTCTACAACTGCAGAAGCACAGTTTGATAGCATTTGATAGCTGTTTACACAGAAGTAAGCATACTAGTCTAGCTACTACCTCTATTATATGAACCTGATAGTTTTGTGATAAAATTATAACAGGTACTTAGAAATTGCTTTTGCTGAATAGCACTAACTTCTAGCCTGGGCCCCCAAGGGAACTAAAATGAAGACAAAAACCTGGTACCTCTGCTCTTGTTTACTACTGCCCAATCATACAGCCATGTCAATCAATAATCTGTCTATAAACTGGTGATTTTTTCAGGTAGTTATTGGATATTAGTGGGACTGGAGACACTGTTGATTGATCCTGTTCTTGGTCAACTGCTTGGTAAGCCAAAGACTGGAACTGCAGCGGTCTGGTTGTTGGCCAGGGAAATGGAATCTGAGTCATATATCTGCCCCTGGCAAGATGCATGATGTTCTTAATTGCCTGGACCATCATGGTGTCAGTGGTGTGGGAGACAGAGACACAGCTCAATGCTGCT